CTGAAGTTCAGCGAGAAGAAAGCAAGAAGAAATTGATGTTGGAAGAACTTCAGTCGACTTAGCTGAGTGAGAATGCTTCTGCTCTTACTCCTCGCTTCTCTGATTCCCGTGGAAAGAAAGAGCATCCATTCTGTGAGTTCTGCAAAATGGTAGGGCACGTTCATGAGATGTGCTGGAAGCTTCATGGGAAACCAGGAGAGAATAGGATCATCAAGACACCTCATGGAAACTTGGCGACTTCGAAAGAGCTCTCTGTTCAGCCCGAAAGTGCTCCCTTCAGTCCAGAACAAATGGAGGCACTGGTGGAATTTTTTTCGTCGAAAATGGGAAGTTTGGGTAATTCCTCTGCCTCTGTTACCCAAAAAGGTAAATACCCATTTGGTTTATCAACATGGTTCCATAAAAAACATATTTGGATTGTGGATTCTAGGGCATCTGACCATATGACAGGAAATCAGTCCTTACTTGGTGATTATCTTGAATATAAGGAAGATTTATTAATTAAGATTGTGGATGGTTCAAGTTCTAGAGTGGCAGGAATTGGCTCCACAAAAATATTATCCTGCTTGACACTCAATTCAGTTTTTTATGTGCCTAATTTGTATTGCAATTTATTGTTCATAAGTAAATTATGTAAAGACATGAATTGTATGGTAAAATTTGACAATCATTCTTATGTATTTTAGGACTCGGTTTCGGAAAAAACGATTGGTAATGTTAGGATGGATTCAAATCTCTACTATCTTGCAGTTGACCCATCTACCTCAAGTAGACAAGCTTCTAATGCTGTATGTGATAATTCGGTTTCTATAGATTGTTCAAACGATGATCACACAATTATGTTATGCCATCATCGATTAGGTCACCCAAATTTTTTGTACTTAAAGTAATTATTTTCTACTTTATTTAAGAATAAAAATCCACTTTCATTTTAATGTAAAGTGTGCCAATTTTTATAACACATTCGCAATTTTTTTCCTAGTATACTATATAAACCCACACAACTATTTGTTTTAATTTATAAAGATGTTTGGGGACTTTTACAAGTCAAAACTATTACTGGAAAAAAATGGTTTGTATTTTTTATTGATGACCATACTAAAATTATCTGGGTCTCTCTTGTGAGAGAAAAGTCTGAAGTGAGCCAAATATTTCAGAGATTTAATACTATGATTCAAAACCAGTTTCACATTACAATACAAGTACTGAAAACCAATAATGCATGTAAATACTTTGAATCCACCCTAGAAGAATATTTTAATAATCAAGGTATCCTCCATCAAATCTCTTGTGTATACACCCCACAATAAAATAACATAACCGAAAGAAAAAATAGACACATTTTTTAAGTTGCCAGATCATTGATGTTTACAATCCATGTTCCTAAATTTTTGTGGGGTGAAGCCATTCTTGCTGCTACCTACTTGATCAATTGAATGTCCACTCGGATACTAAATTTTAAAACTCCTTATAAAGCTCTTCTTCAGGCATTTCCAAAATCTCATGTTTTAAACACTATCCCATTGAAAATATTTGGCTGCACCGCCTATGTTCACATTCACACATACCTCAGGAGAAAACTTATCCAATGACTCTTAAATGTGTGTTTGTTGGTTATTCTTCAAATAAAAAAGGATACAAATATTTTTTTCTCAGGTATTCATCGTTTTTACAATACTATGGATGTAATCTTCTTTGAGAATCAATCATTTTATTTCACAACTAATATTCAGGGGGAGAATTTCACTCAAGAATATCAATTGCGGGATATAAGCCCTCTTCTATCTCAAATTCTGTTGACATCTTCACAAAATATTCATATCCAGGAAACCACAAAAAAAACCGAAAACCCACCACAAATACTAATGACATAGATATTGATGGCACATTATCTGCAAAAAGTAAACTACGGGTCTACACAAGGAGACATAAAACTCAAGATAGTAGAATTCCTTAATTAACCACGCAAAGTCATGAGTCAACTTCTGGACCAAGCACTCATAATATTACAGGTAATGAAATTTCTGACTCAGTGGTTAATATTGACACTAATGCTAAACTTTTTATTGCCTTAAGAAAATGTGTTCGGTCTTGCACCATGTATCCCATATAGGATTATGTGTCATATGACAAGTTGTCTCCAACATACAATGCACTTGTTAATAAGCTCGATAACAACATTGTCCCAAGAACTGTTCATGAGGTACTTGAGTTTTCATAATGGAAAGTCGCAATTCAAGAAGAGATCAGTGCTTGAGAAGAATGAGACATATGAACTATCTGATCTACCTTCAGGGAAAAAGCTTGTAGGGTGCAAATGAATCTTTACCACAAAGTATAATCCCGATGGAACTGTGAGCCGTCATAAAGCTCGGCTTGTTGACAAAGACTTCACTCAGTCATATGGGATTGATTATCAGGAAACTTTTGCCCCAATTGCTAAACATAACACAATATGGGTTCTATTTTCCTTAACCTTAAACCTTGATTGGTTTCTTGATTAATTGGATGTAAAGAATGTTTTCCTCAATGGAGATCTAGAAGAAGAAGTTTACATGGAAATCCCTCCTGGGCTTAGCATCGAGTTTAAGAAGGTATGCAAACTAAAAAGGGCTCTCTACGACCTTAAGCAGTCTTCAAGGACATGGTTTGAGAGATTCTCAAGGACAGTAAAACAGATGGAATATGTTTAGTGTCAGTCTGATCACACACTTTTTACCAAAAGCAGTGCTACGGGGAAGAAATCTATCCTAATTGTATATGTTGATAACATTATCTTAACAGGTAATAATGATGAAGAAATTCTAGAACTCAAAAAGTTTCTATTCAAAGAATTCGAGATCAAAGACTTTGGGTTACTTCGATATTTTCTTGGGATGGAAATAGGTTGATCTAAGAAAGGAAGGTATCTCTGTTTCACAACGCAAATATATTTTTGATCTTTTAAAGGAAACAGGTATGCTTAGTTGTAAACTTGTAGGAACACCGATGGAGTCCAATGTCAAAATCAGTCTAAAAAATGATAGCAAACCTGTTGATAAAGAGAAATACCAGAAACTTGTTGGCAAACTTATCTATCTTGCTCATATCAGACTTGATATCAGTTCTGCTGTGAGCACTATAAGTCAGTTTATGGTTGAACCAACTGAAAAACATATGAGTGTTGTTTACCGGATTCTGAGATACTTAAAGATAACCCCTGGTCGGGGATCGTTCTTCTAGAAAATAATAAACAAAGACATTGAGATCTTTACTGATGCTGACTGGGCAGGATCAGTGACTGATAGAAGATCAAAAACTGGCTACTGTACATATGTGTCGAGCAACCTAGTCACTTGGCGAAGTAAGAAACAGTCAGCTGTATCTAGAAGTAGTGCTGAAGCTGAATTGAGGTCTCTTGCTCATGGAATATGTGAAGGTGTATGGTTGAAGAAGATTCTATCTGAACTAAGCTTTGGTATTCCTAATCCTATGAAACTCTGCTGTGATAATCAATCAACCATCAGTATGGCCAAAGATCCAGTGCATCATGATAGAACCAAGCATGTGGAGATTGATCGTCATTTCATTAAAGAGAAGATAGAAGACAAGACCATTACCCTACACTATGTTTCTACTGATCTTCAGACTGCTGATATCTTAACAAAGGCACTACCAACGGGAAAATTTAATAACATCGTATCCAATTTAGGATTACTTAATATATATATAATCTAGATTGAGGGGGAGTGTAGAAAATGTTAGAATAAGGGTAGTTTAGTATTTACTCTTTTTGGACAGGTGGAATGTCTACCATCACCACCAGAAATTGGTTATGTTTGTTGCTTTTTTTTTTTTTTTCTGTTTTTCTATCACACCCTCACCTTTGGTGTAACATCAGGGCAATGAGTGCCTATAAATGTCACCTCACCCTCTTTGTTTTAGTAAGCAAGAAAGGAGAGAAGAACCTCTCATTTTATCTCCCAAACTCTGCTTCCATTAAAATCTTCTGACTGTTACAATTTCCTTATGTAGTTGAATATAACTAATTCAGGTTTTTGTTTAAAGATTTTTGTTCACTGTGACTTAAGAGTACTTGTCTACAAATTCTCTTTTACAATGACATCAGTATAATTTCACCTCCATGCCCAAGAAGGAAGAAGCAGAACATTTCCTTCAAGAGATGGTCTCAATGGAAAAAATTATTTTCATGTCTGCGGACAAAAACTCATAAAAGTCTCCCATTGTAATCCTTCCAGTTTTTGACCCAAAACAAGCTGCTGTATATTTTTCTTGATGGGGGAACTAGGTTGACCTTAACCTGAACTAGTTATGGTTTGGGACTGCTACATGTTGAAAGAGAAATTGAAGTGTAACACATCAGACTGAAACTTTGTTCTGATCCACTTAGGGGAAGAGTTTTAGATTCCACTTAGAACATCTGTGAGCTAACAGAAGTAGGATGATCAAGTGTGACTAAGAGCATCAGAGTCATTGAAGTAAAGTGCTTGCTTCATAGTGATATAGGACCTGGTCTGCAGTCAGCATCACTTTTTTTTTCTGAGGAACCAGTAAGTAATTCCTCTGTGGAACACATGCTGCATCCTCGGTACTTTTATTAGTGTTGGAAAGTGAATAGAAGAGACTGGACATTGCTTTTTTATTGAGCAACAGGATACCATCTTTTTGCTTTTTCAAGTGTTTATTATTTGTCATGTTGTGAATTAAAGATCAGGTAAGATGTGTAAGTAATTTCCAATCAAGCTTTTTAAGGGTGTTATCAAGGAGTCTTGCTTACAGCTTTGAAGAATTTAGTTTTTGAATTGACAAGATAGTAGATCTCTCTGAACTTCCTTTCTAATTACACTCATAAAAGTTAGTTGTAAACAAGTTTAGAGTTGTGGTATTTTTTTCTCAATCTTCTATGCTTTGATATACATAATTGTTTTCTCGGAACTATTGAACTGCCTTATTAACATAATGATCTTGCATTTTTGTGGTTTATTACTTTCTCCCGTAGACAGTTAATATCACCCCCATGTTTCTGTCGATTTGCAGATTGGCTGCTAATGCACTTGTCCTTATATTCGAAGCCGAGTGGTATTGCTACCTTGCCTTTCACGATAGGGGAACACCATTGGAGGTCAAAGGGAGCTTTTCCTATCTGTACCTTATGAACGAACATGAAATGCAAAGGCTGACTTCATGTCAGTGAATTACATACAAAAGTGGTGCAGAAAGTAGTCTTGGTTGGTGAAAATTCTGTTGGAAGTGGCTAGATATTGCCGTGTAGGGTGGGAACGTATTACATAATGGATTGCCATTGGGGAACATGGAGCAACCTTTTTTGGTCAAATTGACACTTAACTCAATCTAGTTGGTCTGTTATCACAATTTTGTGAGTCATAATTTCTTGTGTTATTGGTGGTGCTGTCCAGAGTTTGAAGAAATAAAGTTTCATGAACCAGCCTTGAAAGCTAAGGATTGTACTGGGAAAGAAAGAGAAGGGACTGGTAAGACCAGTATATTCTAATTCCTAAGCTGGTCTGCCTGCATATTGGACATGAAGTGTCAGATGAAAGCTTTTTTCTGTTAACTGGCATGCTCCTTCCCCTTAAAAAAAGGGGACTCTTCTATATACCAATTTTATGACTACTGTAATTTTTGTATTTTGAAGATAGATTCTGCGAATTTCGAAAATGTTATGGCCAGCTGCATGTCATGAATGAGCTAGGATTACATGAAGAATATATATTGGTATACAATCTTATACGTCAGAATTTTCACTCCAAAATAAAATACAATGGGGTGTTGG